TTGCACTTTATATGCAACGACAGTGCTGGTTCAAGTCATCTATACAGCAGCAATCTTTTGGAGTGCTTAATGTGCTTATAGTAATAATTGTTTGCACGTTAAAGATTATTTAAGCTAGCTAGAGTGCATGTACACTTGGGCACCAAGAAGGAATGGGACCTGTTCCCAACTGAGAATATTTTCCCAATTGCGAATGCATTCCCAACTAGTTCTGGCAGCCAACTGGGAATGCACTAACTGGTCCCAGTTACCAACTGTGAATGCATTCCCAAGTGAAAATTGTTCCTTAAACCAGTTGAACTGGAACCAGTTGAAACCAGTTGGATTCCTAGCCACTAATTTTCACCTGAGTTGCCTCTATAAGCTATGTCAGCACCTTTGACAAGATATTAATGAGAATTAACAAAAAAAAAACAAGCCCTTAAATTTACACTTCTATCCTTCAAATGTGTAATGAGTAAATTACAAATGTCACGGAAATAAAGTTAAGACACATATTTATTACTACTACGCAAACAGTAGTAAACAAAAGCAACAACAATCTTTAGAAAGGCTTGTTTTTATAAGCAGTAACTCTTTGGAGTGATAACCATAAAAATGATGAAAGTCAATAGCAGAACTCAAGAGCATTGCAGTGCATAAGTAGAGAGAGTGGTAGGGAATATAAACAAGAGATAACAGAACAATCAATAGATATGTTGTGCAATGGCATGATACAGGTCATTACAGCAGCAGCTTGTTGCTTTTATAGCGACTTACTCTTCATCACCTTGCTAAGAGAGCGTTTTCATTGCCTTCATCTCACTTGCACTATATAGGCACATGGTATTATGAAGAAAGGTAGAAGGTTGAAGAATGTTAACACTACAACACTGCACTACATTGAGGTGGTGCAAGTCATCATCCGATTTGAAAGAACTCCATTCCCGAGTATTATCATCGTTATCATCCAAATCAAATTCTGCGTACATTTTTCAGTGAGCAAAAGCCTCTTCGTGTAAAGAAGTGAGGAGCATCACTGTAGTAAAGCCTGTGCGAGAATTTGAGCTAGCCCATCGCCATTGCGTGGGCTTTGTCGCCTATTTCTGCCACTCTCATGTCCAAACATGACTCTCCCCTCCTCCGCGGTCCATCGGTGCTGGGGGAGCGGGGGTGATTTTGACCCTCTCACCCTGATGTTGACCCTGGCGCTGCTCTCAAGTCTCTAAGGACGTCTCTCGTGCACACGCGTCGGTAGTCTGTCAGACATTCTTGTGATGACAAAGAAGGAGCATGCATTTCTTTCCCGTCCGTAGGCTCCCTTTGTTGGGAGTTCGCTCGAACTTCGCCAACAGTGCCTCGCGCTTACTTTTCATTGTCAATTCCGAACGCTAGGCGGAAGAGCGGTGCGGTGTGCTCACGCATGGTCCTACTACGGCGACCCGTACCTCTTGAAGCCAACACGAGAAGCCCGTATGGCGTTACAAAAGTTTTTTTTTATCTCGCTCGTCGACCTCAACTTGCCAATACCCACTTTTGAGGTCCATTGACAAGAAGTAGCGTGCATACCTCAGCCTGTCGAGTGAATCATCGATGCGCAGTAAAGGGTATCATCGATGCGCAGTAATGGGTATAAGTCTTTCTTTGTCACATGTTCAGCTTACGGTAGTGGACTAGAAATCGCAAGCTTATGTCTTTCTTTCTAACCAGCATTACCGGCGATGCCCATGGACTTCTTGACGGCTGGATGACGTCATCATCGAGCATTTTCTTCACTTGTTCCTGGATTGCTTCACGCTCTTTCGGTGCTACGCGGTATGGGTTCTGTCGTATTGACCTTGCCGTCTCCTCCGTTATTATCCGGTGCTTCGTCAGTGGCGTTTGGCTGACCCTCAAGGTCAATAAAAAACAGTCTTTGAACTGTTTAAACTGGTGAAGAAGATCTACTAGGCGCTGTCCCTGCGCTGGTAATAAATCCGTGCTTATGTCAATAGATGGTAGGGTTGACGTGGCTTCCGGCTCGTCCTGTTGAACTACACAGTACTCGCAAATTCGGTGATCTTGTCGAAGTAGGCAACTGTATTGCCTTGTGTAATGTGTAATCGCTCGTTGGTAAAATTCGTCAACAGAACCTCCGCTTCACCACACACAGCATTGACGATACTTCTGGCAATTGCAACACCGCGAGAGTAGAAGTGCCAATACTTGTTTAGCAATTCCTTCTCCAGTAAACTGCGCGCTGCACGTGACCAAAACAAGGCGGCACAATAACGGAGGTACGGCAGGAATTTTCGGTGTAGCGCTGCGCTTTGATCCGCTGAAAAGGTCAGTACACCATCCAGTATATTGATGATGGCACCATATTCACGCAAGAAACCCATCCCTAAGATTGCCTGTTTGCAACACTCGGAAAGAATAACGAAAGTTACGGCAAAGGATGCATCCCCTATCTTCATTCTTGCGGTGCACTTTCCGGTAGGTGTGAGTAGCTGCTCACCAGCTCCTCTAATCTGCGGTCCCGTCCATTCTATTCTAACCTTCCTGAGCTTGTCTTTAGACTCTCACTCAATATTGAGATGTCTGCACCAATGCCGTGACGTCATGTTCGTCAATCGTAATTGCAACTTCGGCAGTAATAACCCCATCTTTTGTTGAATCATCAAAAATCTGTGTTTCTTCGCTCGGCAGTATTGAGGTATTTTCAGCACTTCGACGATTCGCAACCTTCCCCCCTGAGGTCGCTGCTTTTAGTTTCCCCAGCGTGGACTGAGAGATCTCCTCTCGGCATGTCAGTGGTGCTCCATCTAGAGAATGGAGAATTACGGCCAGGAGAGGGTGAGCGCGACCGAAACCCAGGAGGAACATCCCGCGGGGTGATGACACTCGTGTCGACGTCAGGCGTTTCGTTGAAATGGCGCCGAGGAATAGTGGAAGGAAATCCTCGGTACCCTGCTACGCGATACAGGCAATTCCGAACAATGTGGCCTGCTTCCCCACAATGAAAGCACAGGGGCCTATGGTCAGGGGTACGCCAGATGTCAGTTTCGCGAAGTGGTAGCCGCCTCGGCGTCGAAGTTTCTTTGTAGTACCAAGGCGCTGTCGGCGGATGTTGCTGGTGGTACTGATGCGGTGTCGGTACGTTAGCTGGCTGTCGGCAGACTATGTCTGCATAGCTTGCCCTGGGAGCGCTCGTGTTCGGCTCAGGGAGCGAGAGCGCTTGCCGGATCTCCTGACGCACAACTTCTGTTACTGAAGCTACAGCGCAGTCATTCGGCTTGGCGACGAGCTTCTTGACCTCTTCTTGTACGATCTCTCGTATCAGTTGGCGCAGAGAACCTTCGTAGGGTGTCGTTGGTGTGGTCGTGGCTGCGGCGCTGATTGGTGCACTGTGGATTGGGCGGTCATACTGCCGGTAGCGTAGATCCAGTGCGCGTTCTGTGGATGTTGCCTCCTTGGAGAATTCATCAACACTTGTAGGCTGGTTTTGCACGAGACCAGCAAACAGGTGCTCCTTAACGCCACGCATGAGGTGGCTAACCATTTTGGCTTCGGGTATATTGGGATCTGCTCGACGAAACAGCCGTGCCGTGTCCTCAACAAAACATCGTAGCGGAATCATTTGGTTTCTGAATCCGTAACTCGAGGAGACGCTGTGCTATTTTTCGTCTTTCGGTGCTCGCGAACGTATCGAGAAACTTCTGCCAGAACTCACCCCAAAACAACCACACACGATTCGTAAACCATGTTCGAGCTCAATCTTGAATCGAAAAATACACATAGCCCAACTTCTGTGCGGTGTTTCACCCGTTGACGTTCACTGTGTGCTCGAATTCGTCGAGCCAGTCATGTGCATCCTCATATATGTTTTTGTGGAAGTCAACCGGAAGTCGAGGGTTAAAAACAGTCACCAGTGCCGTGCTTGGGCTGCACATGTTGGGGCTAGTGCTTCCAGGTGCTGTCAAGCTTTTTGGCACGGTCACGCTTTCCAACAGTAAACACGAACTCCGGGCTGAGGCTTAACAGGCGGCGGCTGCTGCGGTGAACGGGGGTGTCTATGCGCAAAAGTCTTTCTGGGCTAGATGCAGGGCTGTTGTCAGGTGTCCCGAACATGTACCAGCGCCTCAACCAGTGTCACAATGCAGAAGCAGCAGTTGAATACAGGACAATTGTACCAGAACACTGGAAAATTGATCAGATGAGAACCTCGCCTTTCTCTCTCGCTGCGCATGCTCTTCGTTGTTCTCTTGGTGCTGCATATTCAATGCGGCAATATGATGCCTGGGTTATACGGCGGTTTTGTGTGGTCTCCTAAACGTTGTATAATCGGGGTTCCACTGTAGAAAGCCGCTGGTTTGATTCCTGCCATGGCAGCGGCATTCCAATGAGGTGAAATTAACAATTAACACCAATATATTTTATTATAATATTATAACCCATTATTAAAGCACCCTAGTGAGGTCACTATTTATCCAGGTTCCTACACTATCAGTTTTGGCAAGTACGACCCCAAATTTTGAGACACTAAGGCAAACAGGAGTACTTGATGTGTCTTTCAACTACACATCAATACTCATTATCTGGCTTCCTTTCCATCTCTTTCTCGAGAACTGTGCCCTCAACATTTCCTTATCAAGGTAGCTGCAGGACTGTGACCAAAAAGTATAGCTATAAAAGTACATGATATAGATGATTACAGCTGTGTGACAATAATACACCGAAAATACATCCCCTTCTTTCTTTTTTTACCCCCTTGAAGCCACAGCTCCCGGTGCCAAGGACACTATTTAGCCACACTGCGATTTCCATTGGTGCAACGGTTGCTGATGGCAGTAACAGCAAGATACAGTGCTATAAGTTGTAACAGCGAGAAACAGGGCTTGTGTCGTGCCCTCTTTACCTTTCATTTCTCACATTTCTGCTTTTCATTCAGCACTTCCATGCTTGCACTTTTTCTATATACACCCCAATTTTATTCATTTCTCACTAGCAAACAGCTCTACTATTTGCCCATAGTCACTCACGCCCAGTATCTCGCTCTCCAGCAGATTTCTGAAAGGCAGGCTGGTGGAGGCTTCCAGGTGAAACAGCTGGCCCGTCACTCGAGTGGTGTAGCCTTCCTCGGTCACTTGCCATGGCAGAGTGAGCTCCAAGTACGAGCCCTGCTTCACTGTCATGTGCACTGCATTGGTCTCCTGCAGCATTGGGCAAAGAGGCACACATACTACCTAGAAGACTTGTACTTTACTGTTTCTCTGTTTTGCTTCAAAACAGAAAGCATATAGTTTAAACTGTCCAACAATGCAGTGGTTTCTTTGGAAAGTGAGTAGAAATTTTCAAAACAGAATTTTTTTTATACTGTATTTACAAGATTCTAATTTAGCTCAAACGTAATTCAACCACCCCCCAAAATCAATTAGCAAAAAGGTGAAAAATAAAAAACAGAAAAAGAGCACGAGCACATTTCATTTCAAATTTTTATTTAGGATGCCTCCTAAAAAAACCAAGTCAGATTTCGGTAAGCCATGGTGGCTTCACGGCAGTGCTTAAAAGCTGTGCAAAAAAGCTAGCTTTGCAGAATTGCGTGATGATTATTTTCAGGGAGACCTTGCAACCGAAACTAGTTTTTGACTCTAGGTCAACCCAACTTTGAATTTCAAACTAGGACGAAATGGATCGGCCAACAATTGTGTAAAGACAGTAAGTTCTGTTATATTATATTAGTCTGAAGACACCTGCAACGCTGATAACTACACACAATGACAGTGACTGTGGTGGTAGAAATTGAAAACTAGAACCACATGCAGTTTTTTTTAGGCTGCTTATGTGTTGTTTCAAAATAGAAGAGTCATCTTGTTGTAATTATTAGCTCGTAAACTGTCAATTAAGGCATTATTACCATATTCTTTCAGGCTTTGTCTAGTTATCCTAAAAAAGACTGCAATTAAGTGGAAAATTTGATCTGTTCCAGCAACGCTGCTACACTAGCATTGTTGTGAAAACGAACTGTAGTCGTTCCATTCATGCCAAACTTGTGACTGAAATGAACATGAAACGAGCTTCACTGAAAATAAGGATGTTCTGTATTACTTATACGACATGACAGCCAGCACTAACGCCTTAGTTAAGCGGATCATGAAGGCAAAACCTTCAATGTGGAACCCATGGGGGTTGACCACGTTGCAAAGTGAATTTAGTGTTGGTGAATACTGATACACACTTTTACGAAAGAGAACTGGTGGTTGTGACTCAAAAAATCCGTGCAAACAGTTGCACTTTCATTCACCCAAGACATTTTTTTTTCTTCTGAGTGGTGCTTGACGCTGTGCTCGTGTTTCTCCACCATAGGCAGGCAAGTTAATGCAGTGCTGACAGCACCACCAAAGCCTCTTTTGACGTGCGAGAAAAAAAATATACCTCGTTGAAATGCCCCCAGCTAAAGCCGTTGGGACTGCACTTGCTCATTCAATGTGGAGCATGTCATGTTTCCCTGAAAGAACGAAATGTGCACTGGTCTTTCATAAATGTGCTGCTTGCAGAAACAAGCAAAGGCTAAGCATTGGTATCTCCTGAAATTTGTCAAAAGAACTCCAGTACGTTGTCCTGCGACACACATGGCAGGACGGCACGGTGCAGCCGGCTGCAGGGATAGCGCGGGTCAAAGGTTTGTTTGAATTCCAAAGTACGCTTATCGAAAAGAACAACAATGTAACTAGATTCTTTGAAGAGGAACGCCAAAACACTTGCAGTCTTTTTTTGTGTCTTTACTGTCTTTAGTCTACCACTGCATTGGCCACATGCCCTCATTGTCGCAACCACAGTTTCATATGCAGCTGTTCAAGAAAACTGGTAGTTCCATTTTCAATCTGCGTGTGCTGGCTATGCACAAGCCTTCGAAACTAAGTCGTTTTTTGCTATCTATGATCGCATCTGTTGCACTTTTATCTGCAACATTTGTAGAAAGCAACGTCGCTTTGACTAGTTCAGCATTCAATGAGCGTGCACTTTTGGAGTTTGTGGTGATCTCAGGCGCGCCCACGACCGTTTCACGGGCATTCCACCACATGGCCACACCCTTTTTGCTTTTTCTGCTCTGATAACGGCGCGTGGCGATAGATGGTGCCACGTGCGTGCCGAGGGAGCTGCTCTTTTCTCCGTGGTCAGCACAGCGTAAGCACGTGTTTTCCTTCGTCCGCGTTCCCTTTGGTAATCGCTGGACTGTAGCCTGCCTGGGGTGGCCTGTGGCACCTCGGCAGGCGCATTTACTTGAGTGCTAGCTTCGGTAGCGTACGCTAAGCCCACAGCGGTGCCTAGTGCTTGAAGTGGTCGTATCACACCGAGCCGCACTTGCCGTAGGCCTACGCGTACGGGGTTTGCCCTAACACTCGCGACCAGGCCCAGTGGCTATCGTGACAGTGTGCAGCATAGTCACGAGGGACCTTTTCCCGACCGGCGTGTCAAAGCTCGCCATTGCCAGCTGTGACGTGCTCGCAGTTTCCCCTTATTGTGAACGTCTGCGTGCGGTTGCCTTTGCTCCCCGCGTCCCGGGAGCGGACGTTGTACTGTTGTTCAGGGTGCCGCCAAAGGCAATAAAGTGTTGTGTGTTTTGTATTGGAACACTGTCTGTTTGCCACGCCACGCTAAACGCCTTATTAGTTGAGCGCGCGCGGAGTGGTGCTCTACACGCGAGTAAGTGACGAAGTCGAGGCCCTGTGGCTCGCTGAGCGTGAACCCGCAGTGATCATCCGCTATGGTGAGTAGCGGGTTCACCATAAGTTCTGTCAGTTATGTCGTCGTCATTCACGATCGTGTCAAAAGCAACCATAGTTTTGTCCACAGCAGTTGTGGCAAACAATAACTGCAGTTCAGCTGCGTGCGCTTGCTGCGTGCGTCCTTCTGAAGCTTCGAGCAAGCTGCTCTTAGACTTTGTTCCAGCTGGTGATACTAAATTTCATGCGACATGTTGCGAGAAGGAAAAGTGTCGAGAACTTTGGCCCAATGGGCATAGTGGAATTCGACTGGAGAAGTTAACAAATTCACATCGTACAATTCCAATTCACTGATATTGTACTGTACGTTGGATGCCTCCTAAATTCGTTTACCATAAAATGCGATTGGTTTGCAGAAAGCCTGGATCAGATTGGGCTGCATTTCTCACGCACAAAAACTTCATTTTCCAAAGATTTTACTGACAGCCATTTAAAGGTAAGAACTGGTCAAAATACGGAAGACTTGGCAAGTACGCACTAGATCAAGCAGCTGAAATCTTGATTCATTCTTCTAGAAGTAGTGCATCAGGAATACTCGCATGTCCAATAAGCAAGAACGCCTGTTTGCTTATGCAAGCCATAAACTTGTGAGGCCGAGACTATTCACTATTAGCAGACCTTGTCTTTGGAGAAGAGTAGATCCAATGACGCATCAGCTGTAGTGCTAAGGCGCAGGTCAAATGACTGTGCCCGGCGCCTCTCGCCAACTTGAGGCTGAGGCGTGGGCTTCAGCGGCTGGTAGTCTTGTGGGAAGAATAACTGCATCAGCTTGTCCCGTTGGCGGTCTGCCCATGGACCATAGCTGAAACTGGTGCCACGGCCACACTTGGCATCCAGTCCCCAAGTCGGAGCACTGCGCCGCTCTACCAGGTCACCATTGGCCAGCTGGACCACTTCCAGTTCAGCTGGAACGAATCCTGCATTTCCCAAATTAGAGTGTTCAAATATACTCTCCAAAGATGCATTCAGTGACTGCTGCAGCGATTGAAAGAAAAATAGCACCAATCACTATTGGTGGCATATTGACTGAGGCCTTGCACTAGCTGTTTGGTAGAAACTATAATGTGTGACAAAGAATTTTACACCTCTTTTGTAAGCACAGATACCAGAATTTCCAACCATGGTACAAGTGTAGCAGTGCTTATAGAATCAAGCACTGAGAATGCACAAAGATGTGATGGTGGTTACAAGGAAGGTGGTCAGCCCCATCTTCACTTTTGCTTTCTGCAGCATGTGTGCTGTTGTAACCTGTAAGATAATCAAGTGCATGCTTTTCTTCGATAGCAAGAACTGGAACATTCCATGCCACCAATCGCTGGTGCCTCCATGCATGCATGTTGCTTGCAGAGGCAAAAAAAAAAGCAGCTCACTATCTTTGCATTGGTTGAACAATATATTCAATGCACCCTAGTCTCAAACATCCTGCTAATCATCATGATGCTCACCACTGAGGCCGCAACCAACATTGCACTATTGAGAATCTTTTTTCTAGGACACCAGGCTCTCTCTTTCAATGCATCACTTTTCACATGCAGCATCAAGCTAACAAATCAACTATGTTGTAGGTCCCAGTTTCTGACTACTGCTGAGGAGCCTGCCAAGGCTGTTTGACTGGGGACTTAGTGGTTTCCCCCACTCCACCATTGTTCTCACAGCAGAACGAATGGTGGAGAGGAAGACAACCACTACGAAAAGGTGCTAGCTTCGGAAATGGCTGGACAGTTACCCTCAGGAGAAGAGGCCGAATGGGTCTCAAACATAGGGCCAGTATTTAGTTCTCATATTAAAAACTGTAGACTAAAAGTGGCTGCAGAGTTTGTTTCATTAGTATAATTTTTACCCAGCCAGACTATTCTAAAAAGGCTCACATTTTAAAGATACAGGAGATGACATATCGTATGTACATCTTTGACAGTGTTGTCGCTGTAAGCTGATGAATGGCATGTATGTCTTGGACACTTAAAGGGTTAAAATTCCACGCTGTTTTTGACAAAATTATTGGATACCAACTCGCCCAAACGTGGATCATTCTGCGCCTCACTCCTATTGATTGCCCAAGGTTCTCCAACAACTATTTAAGGAAGCCAGAGCAGGTGTCGCTGATGTTGAAGTCAGCACTACCATTAACACTTGCAGCACTTTCAGTGACAAGCAATCTTGCTCTATCGGTGAAACGAGAAAACCAGTGCATGTTTTTATTATAAATTCTCATGGCTGCAGCAACATCTTATAAAGTCGCAAATATGTGCCAGTTATTTTCAGACATGAATGGTCATATTCGAGTCAATCCCACATATATCGAACTCGAAGGAAATTATGAGATAGTTCAATATATTGATAATCTAAAATACAAAATATGCAAACTTAAGGCTTAAATTAAGGATTGTAGGTCTTGAAACAGTTTTCAAAAATCGAAACAAGTGCTGAGATGATGCTTCGTTTATAGTATGGTAAGCAACAAATGACAACTTTTTTTGCAGATTACCGCTCTTTATTTTGCATGAAAATAGTCTGTAAACTTGTCTTGCTTTTTGAGCGCCGTAAGCTCATCAAGTTCTACCAATTCCAGCATGAATAGATTCACATAAATGCTCCTTTTTCTCAGAACAATCGAGGAAATGAACTCGCTGCCACATGAACTCCTGACAGTTGACAATGTAAGCAAATTTGAAAGTGGGATAACTAAACTTTTCACTTCGACTGCAGACACATAGCCTATACATTGCGGATTCAATTCACCTAAAGAAAACTGTCGTTTCTTGTTGTTTAAGAGCTGATTCTTTCAGAGACCGCGGTAAAATTGATGGTACCAGGATTTACTAGTGTCTATTGCTCTTCTAGCTTGCATTGTACCTTTTGTATCATTGTATAATGTGTACTACTGCATTGTGTCTTTTGCGTGTACTGTACCTTTAGTCTGTCCTCGATTGCGACTGCATTTTTTTCCCTTTTTTTTATTGCATATCTTATAACGCAACCACCCTGTAACGGCCTTCGGCCAACAGTATTGATAAATAAATAATAAAGTCATCCTCAATATCATTCAAGCTTTCCAAATAAGCATATTCAGCATTGTACACCACAACAGCGGTGATTGACGCAGAACAGATTGTTCAGCGGCAGCGTTGGCATCTTCATATATGCGTGGTTCTACATCCACGACATCAGCAATGTCAGCCATAATCTTGGCATCGACTCAGAAATAGTTATGCTGTCATCTGTACAGATGAAGTTGCTCGCAGTACTCTCCTCCTAACAGCGCCCGAAAAAGCTAATAAGTCACAAAATTCACTGAGGTTCTAGTTGTCACCTGGCGCCAAATCTAGCTCAGTTACAGCGATCTCTATGGGTGGGTCAATGTTTAGTCTCAAAGTCTTATCACGATTGTTCAAAAGTCCTCCTGCTGTGAGAATCAAACCCGCGCAAACACCCAAGGAACATTTCACCACCGTCCAAATGTTAGCAATAGCAACGACACTTGTGGCTTTGTAGCAGGCAAAAGTTGTTAAATAGCAGCCTGAAAATGATTAATAATTCTTGGGAACAATGCACTATCTGGGCTTCGGTGCTACACAGCGTTCGATATAGCGGATGTTTCGCTGTGCGGGAGTTTGATATACGTCTTCACCAGCCCAATACTTTTGCATGGGAAATTTACAAGGACTTTTCAAATGTTCAATATAGCGAATACTTTGATATGTCCGAGTTTCACAAACCCGGGATACACTGTAGTACTTGTAATTATATGGCGTGAGCATGTGCACAATCAAGGGACAAAACGAGTTGTATTCTATGAGAGTTAGTACACCCTTACCATTATTAGTTAACTTGTGCATGACAGCAGTCTACCAGGCAAAAGTGATCTAAGCGCATTTGCACCACAATAGAACATGGCTGCAAAGCTTCTGAACCACTGTCTTCCCTTGTCTTACCTGACTGTGAGTTAACGTTGTTTTTCGAACATTTATGGCCATGCCTTCGAGAGATCTAAGATGCGCCCGCGACAGATTCGTGGGCATTTCTGCCATACGACCGCTCTTTCCTTCTCCTGTACTCTGGTAAAAGTGCATAGCAATAGATGGCACGAAACGTGGGCGCGGCACATGTTCTCGGCCCACATTGAGTCACGTGGGCACCGGGAAGGTTTTCTCCTCCGGACGGCGTTCCGTAAGCACGTGTTTTTCATTCGTCCGCATGCCCTTTGGAACCAGCGGGCGTGTTTACCTGTGTGTTAGCTTAGGTACTGTACGATAAGCCAAACAGCGGTGCCTAGTGCTTGACGTGGTCATACTACACAAAGCCGCACTTGCCAGAGAGCTACGCATACGAGGTTTGCCCTAACTCTCGCGACCAGGTCCAGTGGACATCGTGAGAGTGCATAGCATAGCCGCTAGGGACCATTTCTCGATCAGCATGTCAATGCTCCCCATTGCCAGCTGCGACGTGCTCGCGGTCTGCCCTTTTTCATGAACGTCCACATGCTGGAGCCTTTGCTCCCCGCATCCCGGGAGTGAACCATGTGCTCTCATTGCGGGTGCCGCCGAAGGGAATAAAGTTTTTGTGTGTTGCTGTTAAGATTGAACACTTTCTGTTTTGCTGTACCACGCTGAAAGCTTTGCTTGATGATTTGATTGATATGTCAGATTTGTGGAGGTGCTGACACCCCCTGAAATCTGTTTGCACTGCGTGACGCACGTGTCTCACACAAAAGCCGTAGTTCGGGGGTGACAACTACTGAGCGATAGTTGGCATTGTGTTCGCAAGCGGTGATCACCACTATAATCATCATGGTTGGTACAGTGGTAGCACCAACGGTGACCCCTGACGAAAGGAAAGCCTTGGTGGTGGGCGAGAGAGTTGAGTGCGTCTCTTCTACGCGTGGCGGTTGCCGCGAACGGTTGTCTCTTGTATGGGTACCCGGTGCGTGGCACCGCGACTTGCACGTCGGGGGGCCCCTGTGGTAAGTTAAGCGTTGGCGATGCCGCATTGGGTGTGTTATCGTGTTTGTCATGTTTTGTAGTGTATGGTAATATTGTGTAAGGATGCCTTAGTCTGTTGATCACGATTGATATTATAATAATTCTGCTGACGATATCGTCGATCTAAAATTAGTTAAATAATTGTGTTGTTTGGTTTGTAACGACCGCGTCTCTGTGTCCACGTTCACTCCAGGAGCGTGGCGCTCGCTCGCCAACATCGAGACCACACACTCCATTTCGAGACCCCAAACAGGCTGCCCAATGTGGAGCGCTTGGAGCATTGGACAACAGTTTTTGCGGTTTGATACAAGCTTTTGTTAGAGCCAGGGTAGAGTAGGCCTAGGGAGACTTCTTTGCTAGTGTCGGCGGTGTTCTTTGCTGAGAGCGAGGAGATCGGTATTGGTGACGTATTCGAACTTATCGGCGCTCGAGTTTTTATTTTTTACTGCTCGCAAGAGTGTTTGTTGTTTTGGTTGGTTTTTAAGAACGTTGTTTAGTTAAGTACAAGAGACATGTGGTCTGCTTCTGGGGTGAGCAAGGCTTAGAGCCCGTGGATTGTAGGCCAAGCCCGAAGCGAATGAATACAGAAGCCTCGTGCGTAGTCTGACTTTCTGTAAATAGCTTCTTCTATCTCTTTTAGGTTCAGGGAGGCGGGCATCGTTGTTGTCTGATATTGCCGCTCGATGCCAGGGCGTCGCGACAGCCTCCGGGACGGTGGACACCGATCGCTCGGTAAGCTGCTGTGTGCTGCGAGCATTGGGTCACCTTGCAGAGTGGATGTCTTTTTGCGGCTGCCTCTTCTGCGCCTAGGCTGGGTGGATGCCGGCTGTTGCCAAGCGACTCATTAGGCTTTAAGCTATGCGCAGCCGCCTATTGCACGTGGCACAACCAGAAAGATCGTGGTGTTGAGTATTGCACTATGCTTCCCTCATATTTTT